GGGCAACCTCATTCCAGCTGTAGCTGCCCTTCCACAATCACTTGGCCTACAGACCCGCCCAGGGAGCAGGATTCCCACGGTGGGTTGGGGCGGGGGGGTGGCAGGAACAGCTTCAGAACAGCACAAAACCAGGGGAAATTGTTCCCCTTTCCCAGGCTGAATGCTCCCTGGTGGTGTAGGCTGGGCACAGTGAGCTCCAAGATCAACCCTCCGGCCTAGAAACTCCGCAGGCCGGGACTGTCTTTTTGCTTACCTACATGGGGCTTCATGAGCAGACTTAGAGCAACTGTGTTTAATGGTGATTTGATGGATGAAAGGTGGTAATTTCTATAGAAGAACATTAAAAGCCTAGCTCGTGGTTGCCTGCACACTCTGGCCCTCTGGGAAGGACGTGGGTCTGGACACTGGGTGTTTGGTGTATGAGTGGAGATCAAAGAGCCCCATGTGTCCCGAGGAGTGGGGATCCTGGGGTGAGTGGGGTCACGGGGCACCTCGCACCCTGAGGCAGGCCGGCGTCTCTAGGACCCCCAGCACCTCCCAAGACCCAGAAGGCATCGTGCGGCTGGGAAGGAGGGCCCCGAGCGTGACTAACAGGCGCAGGCACAGACAGGCGAGCCTCTGGAAAGAGCGAGCATCTAACCAGTTGCTGAATCCACAGGCAGCATTTAGGATTTGCTAGAGCTGCTATTTGACAGCAGAGAGGACAAGCTCAGATTTGTTCCGGCTGAAAGGGCTCCTCAGCTGCTGCCTCTTAAAAATCCTCACTGAGGCTCCCACTAGCTTCTGTGCTGAAAAACAATGTGATGTGATACATGTCATTTATATACAACAAATATGTGGATGTGAAAATGTGTGTGCACATGTGCATGAGCAGGCGTACATATGTGTGGCTATGGTTGTGTGCGTGTGAGGATCATTCTGGTCCTCCTAGGTAGTCGAGGTGGGAGGTGGGAGGCAGCATCATCCCTGACACCCACCGGGCCCCTCTGCTGGCCATTGGCCCGTGGTTGCTGAGGGCAGGGCAGCTGCACAGGGCTGGGGTGGGGGGGGGGGTCCCTGCTGCTGTGTGGTATGTGACCCACACACCAGCAGGGCCACACGTATCTGCGATGTCTTCCTCTGAACCAACCACTTTAGAAAATGTGCCTTTGCACCTTTCATGAAAGGCCTGCAGGAAAAGCACTTCACACTCAGGAAGAGCAGAGAGATTAAAAGGAGAAATGGGTTCAATCCAAGGCAGGAAACCTTTCTCATCTCCCCACTCACTCCTCAGCCCTCAAGAGCTGTGCGGAGAGGAAGATGACAGGAAGGCCTCTGGCCTCCGCACTGCAGCGTCTCCTCCCTGCGGAGTGGGGTGGCCGTGTCTGCCTGGTGTCCAAGATACTTTCCTCAGGGGAGGGGTCTGCAGCCTGCCAGGGCCCCTGTTGTCCCACCCACATGCCAGATGGGCTGCCTGCCATGGTCCCAGGAAAATTAAGCACAAGCCATGACACATGTGACTCAGGACAACAGTGAGCTGAAAACACGGATGCTTCCCTGAGGTGCACCGATCCCACTGCGGACTACAACAGGAAACTGACCCTGAGAACACTGACGCCTGAGGAACTGAAGCTACAACAGGAAACTGAGGCATGGCAACGAGACCCTGAAAACACTGCATCTGCCAAGAGCCTGGCGAGGTGGGGGTGGGGGTGAGGGGACAGGCCACCTCTGCCGAGGCTGGGTGGGGAAGGGGCAGGGACGCTCCAGGAAGGAGGAGCTCTGGAAGAGAAAGCTTGGAAGGACATGTGCAGAGTGCACAGAGTAAAACAGCCTGGTCTGTGTCCCGGCCGGGCAGAAGACCTTGTCCGCCTGGTCAGTTGAGCCACCTCTCTCCTGAGAATCTCAGGGAGACAGCCCAGGCTCCAAACATCCCTCCCGCCAACCACTGGGCCTGACTGAGTCCCTTGCAAAAACGCCCACATCACCCAGCTTCCCTGTCACCACACACTCCAAGGCCCTCTCCCAGGTCCTCCCAGCAGATCCACTGGCTCCCAAGTCCTGACCACAGCTGCTGCTTGGCCTGGACAAGGCCTGGCAGGCCGGCAAGAGTAGGCAGTACCTGCTGTAGGCCCAGCCCCAGGCTCTCAGCTGCTGCTCCTAGGAGAAGGCCGTGCTGAGAGGTGAGGGTGATCTGCTGGCATATCCCAGCACAGCCCTCTAAACACACGCTGGCCTGATTCCATGAGTCAGCCACAGAGGCTGTTCTTTGCACAGCTGCTTTTTCCAAATAAGACGGTGGGGACGAGAAGCTTTGACTTTGATGTAAAAGATATCAATGACAAAGGCCTTTTCTTGAATTGTAAAAGTAAAGAAACCCTAAGCATGCCGGCCCACACAAATCTGACACATGCCTGGCCACACTCCCATCAACTGCAGAACGAACACTTGAGGTGCCAACAGGCCCAGCAGAAAGTGGAATGCCATCTCTGAGAGCGAGGCCACGTGGCACAATGCGGGCTCCTGCGTGGGCAGCCAGGGGCCAGGGCAAGCTGACCTTCCCACACCCTCCACTGATGCTAGAAGCCACAGCTACAACTCCCCAAATTTAAGCCTTTTCTTAAATTGTAAAAATTTAAGAAAACAGGACCAACCTTCCTCATGAGGCATTCCAGACCCTGCAGGGTCAGGTGCCAGCCACAACAGCCCAGCACTTCTGGATACTCTGCCACCCACGGCCTCTCCTGCTGTGCCTGCTCTCGAGAGGCCCTTGTCCATGATGACAAGGCATGGCCTCTGCTGCTGGCCCCAGCTCCCCATCTCCCAGCAGATACACACTGAAGCCAGTCCGGCACCTCATCCAGCCTCGGCCTTGGCAAGCTCCTGACCTGCCTGGAGTGCACTTCTGGGCCATTCCTTCTGTCTCGATAAACGCTACCCCTCTGAGGCCCCCGGGCCTGCTGCTCTGTGTGGAAAGGGTCTTCCTCACCAGGCAGGGCTGCTCCTGCAAGTTAGGGTGTGTGGGAGGCATGTTTTGTTCATTTCTGCACAGGAAAAGCCAACTCCAGCTTCAGAGGGGCTCCCAGCGCTGACGCCTGACAATCAGGTGGTGGGGCCAGCCCCTCTGCCACTCCCCTCCTCCCCTCTCCAGCCCAGCAGCCATGCTGCCCTCCAGCCACACTCCTCTACTTTATAGCCTGGAGTTCCTCCCATCCTCCTAGGAAAGAGACTGCACGCTCACCATGCTCCACCTCCAGCTTCTCCCATCACAGCCACCCTCACACACAGCTTCCCCACCCCCATCAACTCGAAGATGCATGGAGATGCACTCCTGCCCAGCAGACACCGACTGTCATGGCTCTGTGTGCACCTTACAGGCTGCGATGACACTGCCATGCCTCTATGTGAAGAATGTCCCCCAGGTCCTCAAGACACGGAAGACGCTAATGAAGACAGAGAGTGGATTGGTGCCCACTCATCACTCCATCTGTCTCCGTGCTCCGCCCTGAGGAGGCCCACAGCACACACTCAGTATCTGAACACTTGAACGGCTGAATGGACACAAACCAAACCACTCAGAATTCGGCGGGTCCCAGAGAGGGCGATTTGTAAGGCACAGCCCGTGCATAAGGAAGGCTTCAGAGACACTGGAGGAACCTCAAATCTATAAGGGATCACAGCGGCCATGTGAAGAGCACTTCCTGGGCCAGGGCTGACAAAAGGCATCCCTTTTCCTGCTTTACTCGCGGCAACCCTGAGAAAGAGGGGTCATCCATGGGTGAAAACCAGAACCCCAGCGAGTGAGTGTGACACAGCAGAGGCCACTGCCACAGTGGGGCCCAGGGGCCCACACCAAACGTGTGTGGTAGGGAGAGGGCGCTCTCCCCCCCAACCCCCATCTCACTGCAGGGCCACTTGATGTCCCCTGGAGCTGTCTCGGTACCCTGTTCTCAGTTCCTCTGACCACCAGGAGAAAGCCTGGATACCCAGGGCCTGGCCTGCTGCAGACACTCAGAGCAGAAGAGTGGCCAGTGCAGGTAAGCCATGGGCCTCCTGACACCACCCCGTGCCCATAGCCCCCGCCTCCCACAAGGGATTCTGGCGGGACACTCGGGTTGCCCCACAGCCACTTTCAATCCACACTGGAAGTGGCAGCGCCAATGTAGGCACCAAAGCAGAGCCAAGAGTCCCACTGGTATCTCCCTTGAGACTTCTAGCCTCAGGATCCTGATGGGTCCACAAGGCAGGGGGAGAGGAAGTGAGCTCCAGAAAAGCAGCCTGGCCTGCTGCCCCTGCTCTAGGGGCACTGTGTGCAAGCAGGAGCTGGTGTGGGGGTGCCCCAGGACAGCCCGGTGGCAAAGTCTCGGCAGCATGTTGGAAGCACGGCTCGAGGGCTGCTGGATACGCCTGGCTGCTGCACTGCCTGGGCTCTGTTCTGAACCGGTGCAGCCCTCTTGGCACAGCACTGCCATGCAGCCCCTGAGACTGCAGACCCGGCTCTAGTTCAACCCCGTGACGGAGGACACACTCCCTTCTGAGCATCAGGGACACTCAGAGGCCCCTGCTGTCAGCGCTGGCTAGACAGACACTGCTGAATAAAGGCCCATACTACCAGAGATGAGTGTCTCTGCAGAGAGGAACCTATGTGAGTGGGAAGTGACTTATAAAAAAAGCCCTTACAGGAAGGCAGCACAGTAGCAAGTTAACTCCAGTCAACAACAGGGGAGCATCCAGAGATGGCCTCAGGCTGGAGCGAGGGGACAGGAGGCCAGCAGTGCACGTGTCTCCCACACTCCCCTCCTCTGGTGAGGGCACACCTGAGCATGCGCACCTCACTGCTGGGGGACACACCTGAGCAGGCCCACCTCCTCCCTGGGGGACACACCTGAGCGTGCCAACCTCCTCCCCGGGGGACACACCTGAGCGTGCCCACCTCCTCCCTGGGGGACACACCTGAGGGTGCCCACCTCCTCCCTGAGGGACATATCTGAGCATGCCCACCTCCTCCGTGGGAGACATACCTGAGCGTGTCCACCTCTTCCCTGGAGAACAGGAAGCTTTGCTCGGGAGAGCTGGACTGAGACTTTAGCATCTTCAGCTCCATCTCCAGCTAGAAGAAAGCAAAGGACAGAGGGTCAGCACACACAGGCGGCCCCAGGCATGTGGGGAACCCCACCCCTTGCTGCACCCAGCCCAGGCCCTGAGACCGCTCTCTGGTAGCACCCAGTCCAGGCCCCAAGACCACACCCTGGCAGCACCCCCGCCCTGGGCTGGGAGCTGCAGGAGAGACGCACACTAACTTTGCAAACTCAAGTTCTCTCACTTTTTTGGTGCTTTTGTCTCCCACTCCAAAGCCTGGCTCACCCCATCATGAAGGGAAGAAGAAGGGCAGCATGGACCCAGGGAAGGGAGGACAGGTGCCAGCAGGGAACAGAGCAGCCAGAGGTCCCCATCAGTGAGGCTGCAAAGCCCGCCAGACCCCAGCATAGGATGACTCAAGGGGGGACAACACCCACTGGGCTGGGGGATAACAGGGGCTGGGAAAACAGGCACCGGAGGGAAGGGTGCACAATGTGCAAGGGGGTGGGATATGCCAATTACCCTGATCTAATCCATATATTACATGTACTAAATCATCACGATGTACTCCATAAATATGGATGATTATCATGTGTCCATTAACAAGATAGATCCACAGTCCAGACAACAAACATGGAAGGCCATGCCCTGAGCAGCCTCTCCCCAACTTCCAACCCCAGTCACCCACCCCCAACTCTCAGCCAACCAGCATTCTGATGTTTGAGCATATGTTCCTTCCGCAGGCTGCTGGTGCACATGCCAGCAGCATGTCTGTGTTTTTCCTCCTACCCCATTTACTCTTTTTTTTTCTTTCTTTTTTTTTTTTTTTTTAACAAAAATGGTAAGATGTCCTACACATCATTTGGTAACTTGCTTTTTCCACCACACACACACACACACACACACACACACACACACACACACACACACACACACAGAGAGAGAGAGAGAGAGAGAGAGAGAGAGAGAAAGAGAGAGAGAGAGAGACAGAGACAGAGAGACAGAGAGAGAGAGAGAGAGAGAGAGAGAGAGAGAGACAGACAGACAGACAGACAGACAGGGAGAGAGTGAGTCAGTCAGTCAGTCAGTCAGTCTTGCTCTATTGCCCAGGCTGGAGTGCAGTGGTGTCATCTCAGCTCACTGCAGCTCCTGGGTTGAAGTGGTTCTCATGCCTCAGCCTCCCTAGTAGCTGGGATGACAGGCACCCACCACCATATCTGGTTAATTTTTATATTTTTGGTAGAGACAGTATTTCACCATGTTGGCCAGGCTAGTCTCAAACTCCTGGCCTCAGGTGATCTGCCTGCCTCGGCCTACCAAAGTGCTAGAAATAATAGGCATGAGCCATGGCAACTGGCCTTTTCTTCTATTTTCTAACTTATCTTTGTATACATGATTTTACATTTTTGTTCCATTCCCTAAATTCCAATTGACTGCAGCAGTTTTCAGTTGATTCTTTTGGCACACAGTCATATCAGAAGCAAAGAGCGACAATTTTCCAATTTTCCTCCTCTTTCCCAATATTTATATCTTTGGCTTCTTTCCGTTGTCTAATCTGGATGACTACTATCTCCAGAATAATGTTAAATCACAGTTGTAATGCTGGACATCCTTAAGTGGTCTGTGGCTTCACTGAAGCTGAAGCTAATACTTTCTTATTTACAGTACATCACCTTTTGCTTGAAACGGGTATTTTCTATTATGCTGAGAAATTACCCATATGTTCATACTTTATTAAGAATTTTTAATCAAAGCTGAATGTTGGATTTTGTCACATGTCTTTTCAGCAAATATGAAAAGGCTATTCTATAAATTGATATCCTAAAATCAAGCTAACAGGCTGCTCCTGCAATACATCCTACTGCATATGGTGGGTTTTAACATGCTGCTGAATTTCTCCCGACACATTAACACTGATGCCAATACATGTATGTGCATGCACATGCATGCACACACACACACACAGATACTGGCATGTGAGACCTTTGCAGTTGTTGGTGTCAACACGATACTTCCAGAATGCCTTCCCTCCTTCTCCCACAGTCTGAAATGGTTTACACACAGTGTTGAAAGTAAAGATCTGGTAGAATTTCCCATGACACTGGCTTGGCCTGATGCATTTTCTGTCTCTTTCCTTTTGTGGCCGGGGAGAGCAGCCCTGGCAACTTTGGGACAACTTTTTTCTGCAATAATTGGTCTGTTTGAAATGTCTCTCTTTTGGAGTTGGGATTGATAAATAACATTTCCCTAAAAAGTTATTCATTTCCTACAGATTTTTAAATTTGCAAATGGAACTGAGATATAATTAAATAACACTTCTCTAAAAAGTTATTCATTTGCTACAGATTTTTAAATTTGCAAATGGAATTGAGAAATTAATATAATTTTTATAGAATTCAGATAGAACTCATAATTCTTTTTCAATTTAATTTTTGCTTTTATTTTACCATTCAGATACATAAAATTTACACAAAGTGCTGAATCTTATGTGCATAGCTTGATGACTTTTTATACATGTCTACACCTGTGTATCCACCATCCAGATCAAGACACAGCAATCTCAGCACACACGAAAGCTCTCTCATGCTCCTGCTCAGTCAATAACTCCAGGCAATTAGTCTTTTTTCTTATTTGGGATGGTGATACTGCCTATCAATTTTTTATTAGAACTGTGAATAATTCATGTTTTATTAGCTTTATTTCAAATAATAGGTATTTGAATTTATTTATTATTTTTACCATTTTTCACTTTCCTATTAACTCCTGCTTTAATATTTAAAAATTCCTACCTTTTAGTTTTACGACAGTTTATTTTCCTTTCATTCTCTGACTTCTGGGGGTGAAGATCTAGTCCATATATTTACATGCTTTCTTGTTCAACGATACAAATATTTAAACTTGTGAATTTAGATGTTTCCCACAGGCTTTGATGAGAAATGTTTTCATGACAATTATTTTTCAGATTTTATGCACTTTTGAATCATACTTCTTTGAACCAAGAATTGTTTAAGACAGTGTTTTGTTCTATTTAGGTTTTGTTTTTTAATTTCCAAGTGTTAGAAGGTTTTTTTTCTGTCTTTGTTCTTGATCTCACATTTTACCACACTGCAATCACAGGAGGTTGTATTAGTTCTACTTATTTTAATTTATAAAGGCTTTCTCTATTACTGATACATAATCTTTGTGAATGTTGTGTTCTATGCTTTCTCTTTAACACGAGTATATTCTCTAATTTGGGAGACAGGAGTTTTAGACATACATATATTTTTCTGTTTTTCCATTATTCTTTGCCCACTTGATATACTGCAGATTAGGATGTAAAATAAATTCTGCTACTGGCATCTTTGACAATTTCCCCTTGAATCTCTCCTCATCTTTGCTTTTCTCAACAGCAGTGACGTGTTATTTGGCTAATCCATCCACACCTCACTCTGAAGAGTGCCTACCTTTGTTTCTGAGAGGCTTCTGGCCTGAACTCACGCTGCATCAAAAGCTCCTGCTTTCCAGGTTCACTTCACCAAAATGCCTTTGCTTTCCATGTTTTCCAACATGTTTGGTTTTGCTTTGTAATCCAATCAGGAAGTCCTTTCCTTTTCAAAGGAGAGTTTAGTCCATCTACATAACTTGATTTCCAGTTCTGTTGTATTATGTCGTTATGCTTTCAATTTTATAGCTTTTCCATCTATGTCATTCTGTGGCCTTTCTAATCATTTACTTTTTTACGTGTAATTCTCTCAAGGCTTAGAAAAGTGCACGTTTTATTCTGACTGCTTTTATAATTCAGCTTTGCTTCACACCTATACTTTGCTGTTAGACAGTACCTCTTGCATCTCCTATGTTGAGTGCCTGACTAGTCAGATATATCACCCTTACTGTTTCACTTTATGCGGTCTGTGATGGTTCATTTCATGTGTCCACTGGACGGGACCTGGGACACTCAGATCAAAACACTTTCTGGGTGTGTATGGGAGGGTTTCTGGATGAGATCAGCATTGGAATTGGGGACTCAACAGACTGCCCTCCACAGCATGGGCAGGCCGCCTCCAACCCCTTGAGGGCCCAAAGGAATGAAAACTGGAGGGGGTGAGTGTTCCTCCCTTGACTGCCTGGTGGCCTGAGCCAGGGCAGCTTCTGTTCTCTGCCCCAGGCTGTGCTGGTTCTTAGGCCTGCAGAGCTGGACTGAGTCATACATGGACTCTTCCAGGCCTCCCCTGTGCAGATGCAGACCATGCGCTTCCCAGCCTCCGTCACCACAAGCCAGGTCCTCACGTCAATCTCTCTGGATGGACCAGTCTACTGCCTCTGGTTCTCTAGAGAACCTCATACGCAGCTCCATCTACTCTCCCTACCTGACGCTGTCTTCAGATGGTGTGTCTTCGTCTTTGGCTCTCAATGGTGAGGATGCCATCCTCGTGTTGCCTCCTCCCTCTTTTGAATCTCTGACATGTGACAGTTACATTTCCCACTTCTGCATTCACTTCATCTTCCAGTTCAGGAGATGGAACTCTTGCTGCTGGGGTTGTTTTCCATAGCTTTTCCCATGATTCCTCCCTGTGCTTCTTCTGGTCACCTGCCTTCCCATGCTGCCCTCTTCCTGCCCTTTCAGCTTCCGGGTCCCGTCTCATGCACCCGCCAGCCTCACCATCTCTTCTTGGAGCATGTGCGTTCCATCAAAGCCTCGCAGACTCTACTGCTTCATTAACTTTTATTTCTTGACAAAATGTCTGGATACAATTTTCATCTGCTCAGTGTCAACCATTTTGCTGTGAAAGATTTTCTGCTGCTTGTTTTTCTTCTTTTTCTCCTTTGCTCTTACACAAATGCGTGGAGTGACCTTTACTGCTCACTGCTGAAGATGAGATTTATTGAATCTGGCTCTGTGTACAGGTTCACAGTGGGGAAGGAAGGGCCTGCTTCCTTTTATCTGAAATCCAGTGACAGTTTTGCTGCGAGTCCAATCAGCCTCCAGTAGCTCCCTCCGGCAGGAGAGAAGGGACACTGCGAGTTTTCCTAAGAGCAAATGTTCTCCTC